TAAAGTTATATTCCTTTAACATTCTTTTTGTAAAAATTCCCAGAAGTAAGGGAAAAAAATTTTCCAGAATACAATTATAGGAACCAATATGTGTACTCATTTACTGTCAATATCCCCAACTGCATGTAATACACAGGAATACCTTTACTGCCCTTGCTGGTAGCTCAGTTGGTTAGAGTTATCCCGATAAGCCAAAGTTGTGGTTTCAGTCCCCAAGGGGAACATATGAGAATCAACCAGTGAATGCATAAATAAGTGAACAACAAATCCATGTTTCTCTCTCTCCCTCCCTCTCTCTTAAGTCAGTAAGTAAAAGATGAAAAAGAAAAACTTCTGGAGGAAGACAGAAGAGAAATAAATGGAAGTCACACTTAACCTCCTCCTAAGAACAATCTGGAATCAAAACTAATCGTGAAGAACCACCCAGAACAAACAACTGAGAAATAGCAAGAGAAAAGCCTTATAACCTCAGCCAGACAGAAGAATCAGCTTCAGCACAACTCATCTGCATCATCACAATGCACAAGACATGATGGGCAGAGTGACACTAAACCAGCTAGAGGAAAGGACCCACCCAAGAAAGACCCAACAATAATCAAAACCCAATTACATTCAGAGTCAACATAAATGGCAAAAAGGGCATCCCAAGAGCATCTAATTCAGGTGCTGAAAGAGACTACACTACTGAATCTCATAGGCCTCCTACCATAGAAGTTCATACCACAAATTCAGGAAAACAGAACACATCGATTGAAGAAGCAGAAGCAAACAAGAAGAGTCTCACAAAAAATGGGAAAACGAAGAAACAACCCCCAATCAAAAGGAAAGGACAAATCCTCAGAAAGAATGCTAAATGACACAGGGGCAAGTCAACTATCAGATACCGAGTTTAAAACAATGGTTGTAAGGAAGCTCAATGAGCTCACTCACAATTATCAAAAACAGAGAAACTAGGAGGAACTTACTGCAAACTGTATTAGCATAAAAAGGGACACAGAAACAATCAACAAGAACCAAGGGGAAATGATGAATAAAATTTCTGAATTGAAGAACACAGTGGAAGGAATCAAAAGGAGGATAAAGCAAAGGATCAATCAGCGAGCTGTAAGGAGGTAGGAAAAAAAACCCAGAAAGAGCAAGAAAAGGAGAAAAGACTCAAAAAGAACAAAGAAGGGTTAAGGGAACTGTAGGACAACATGAAACATATTATATGGTAATAATATCCACATAACAGGGATACCAGAGTGAGAAGAAGAGCATCAAGGAATAGAAAATTTGAAAAAGTAATGATGGAAAACTTTCCTAATTTGATGAAAGCAAAAGCCACACAAGTCCAGGAAGCAGAGAGGGTCCGTATCAAGAGGAATCCAAAGTGGTCCACTCTAAGTAACATCATGATTAAAATAGCAAAATTCAAAGACAAAGGGCAAATACTATGAGCAGCAAGGGAAAAACATGGAGTAACATACAGGAAAGCCTTCATAAGACTAACAGAAACATTACAAGACAGAAAGAAAAGGCATAAATATTACAAGTAATGAAAAGCAAATGCTTGCAACCAAGACTACTCTAACCAGGAAGGCTCTCAATTAAAATAGAAGGTTAAATATAGCAATACGGTTAAATCTGACCAAGGAGGCAAGAGACCTGTATTCAGAAAAACCACACAACACTGAAGGAAGAAATTAAGGAAGATACAAAGAAATGGAAGCATATACCATGTTCATGTATTAGTAGAATTATCATCATCAAAATGACCATACTACCCAAAGCAATTTATAGATTCAACTCAATCCCTATTAAAATACAGATATAGAACAAATATATCAAAAATTTACAGTGAACTATAAACCCCAAATGGCCACATCAATTTTGAGAAAGAATAAAGTAAGAGGGATCACCCTATCTGACATCAAACTATATTACAAGAGCACAGTAATGAAAATGGTCTGGAACTGGCATAAGAATAGACACACAGACCAATGGAACATATAGAGAGCTTAGAAATAAACCGAAGTCTCTATGGTTTATTAATATTCGACAATTGGTGGCAGAAACATGAAATGGAGTAAAAACAGACTCTTTAACAAATGGCATTGGAAGATCTGGACTGCTACATGTAAAAAAATGAAACTTGACCACAAACTTACACCATACACAAAAATAAACTCAAAATAGATAAAAGACTTAAATATAAGTAGTGATGACATAAAAGTTCCAAAGGAGAACACAGGCAGGAAAATTTCAGATAGTCCACACAGCAATATTTTCACCAATATGTCCCCCAGAGGAAGGCATATAAAGGAAAGAAAAAACAAATGGGATTTCCTCAAAATAAAAACCTTCTGCACAGCTAAAGAAAACATTAGCAAAATGAAAAGGCAACAAACTGTATGGAAAAATATATTTGCCAATGATATCTGGAACAACTGATTTATCTCCAGAATATATAAACAACTCACAGGACTCCACTCCAGGAAGACAAATAATACAATTAAAAAATGGGCAAAAGTCCTCAACAAACATGTCTCCGAGGAGAACATACCCAGGGCCCTGAAACATTATGATGGGATGCTCAGCATCATTAGCCACCAGAAAGGGAGAAGTAAAACAAAGAGATACCAATTCACACTGGTGAGAATGGCCATCACAAAGAAATCAACAAACAACAAGTACTGGCAAGGAGAAAGAGTATCGTGAACCCTAGTACACTGATGATGGAATGCAGACTGGGACAGCCACTCTGGAAAAGTATGGAATTTCCTCAAAACACTAAAAATGGAAATAAATGTCTTTTGACTCAGCAATTCCACTGCTGGGATTATACCCTAAGAATCCTGAAACCCTAATTCAAAAGAACATTAAGTACCCAATGTTTATAGCAGTACAATTTACAATAGGCAAGTGTTGGAAGCAACCTAAGTGCCCATCAGTAAATGAGTGGATCAAGAAACCGTGTACATTTATTTACACAATGTCATAGTATGCAGCAGAATGAAAGGAGTTCCTACCTTTGCAACAGCATGGATGGAGCTGAAGAGCATTAATTACACTAAGTGAAGTAAGCCAGTAGGTAAAAGACAAATACCGTATCACTTCACCCATAAGTGCAATGTAATCAACAAGACAAACAAGCAAGCAAAATATAACCAGAGACAGTGAAATAAGGAACAAACTGACAGTAGTCAGAGGGGAGTGGGGAGGAAGCTAATGGGGAGAAAGCAGGGAAAGGGTCCTAAAGGAACATGTATAAAAGGACCCATTGACAAAGCCAAAGGTGGGTAGGATAGAGAGTGAGTGGTGGGAAAACGGAGACAATTGTATTTGATCAACAATTTGAAAAATTGGAAAAAACACCTTTTCATCCCATAGTACAGTCTCTTGGCACACCATTAATAATTTAGTTCTCAATACAACAGTTTAGAAATAAATGTTTTAAAAATCTAAAACAGTTGAACCATCATGTTAAAAAAAAAACACGAGTTTATTTTAACAAAGAAATTGATTATAAAATGATTCAGGCCCTGATGATATATGGTTGTTTTACATTTCAACTCCACTAGGATTACAATTTCTCAAAAATAAATTGACAGGTTTGCTTTGTTCACGAATATGAAGTGTCTACTTGGGAAACACTGTTCTTTCTCATTGTGTATTAGAACCTTTACTACGAAATTAATTTCATTCAAAGGTTTTAGAAATATATACCCTCACTTAGTTACTGAAAAATGTCAAGAGCAAGGAAAGTAGTTTAGTATTTTAAGAAAACATTGTATGTTAACAAAGTGTATTAATTGTATCATCAGAGTCCAGTATGAATGCTGTCTCAGCTATTCATCTATGACTCCCATCCGTGCTTGGCTCATCTGTAAAACGCTGAAATAACGTGTCACACATGGTCGTGGAAATAGATGATAGTCAAGTTGCACCCACACTGAAAGTACTCCACAAGTTATCGCTCCTGCCTTCAGCCGTCAGACAGGAATAAATTTTAATTAAATGGGGATTCACTGTTACGTAACAAAATGGTCAAACTGAACCTTTTCCCGTCGGTTTATTAAATAGTCGATGATTGTTTTCTCACATTGGAAACGCTATAAATCACTCAATTATTCTGAAAGTATACTTACCTTCACCCCTTGCTCTGAAGTAGAAAAGCCTACAATCTTTTTTACAGTAAACATATGTCTCAAAAGAAAAAAATTCAAAACGCAAATGTAGCCTAGTAGTCCGGGTTCCACAAACACTACGTGACAGAAAGCTTGGGGCTTTCATTTTTAGCCCCCAAACTTCTAACAGGGGCATCGAAGAAACCGAAAAGCAGGAGATTTCGAAAAACACTAGTACCAAAAGGAGACAGTCCAAATTGTAAAGTTGAGGAGGCTTTCTGAGATTTGACCAACATTCCGAGCTCCAGAGGCCCGGGGTCAGGCAACCTGGGCCATAGAGGAAATACTGACTTCTGAATGGGACATCCGGACAAAGATCCGCTAAAGCTGCCGTCTTCCGTAGTCTCCAAAGCTAAAGCAAGTCCCTGGCTGAAGGCTGGACTTTCCCACAGGCCCAGGGTCGGCGGGATCCCCGGACCTCCCGGGGCCTCCCGGAAGCGAAGCGCCCCGTGCCTCCGGCAGGCCCGACAAATGACTTTGCAAAATCGCATTCCCACTCTCATCCCCTACTAGACCATCTGAAAGCACCAAGCCAGAGACCAAAGCCGTGAGAAAATCCGATCGGCGATTACACTGCAACCTCAGGCATGCAGAGGAGTTCCATACCTGAACGTAGTCAGCGAAAAGCTGTAACCGCGCTCCGCCATCTTTACCCAGAGAGTCAAAGCACCTCCACACACCTGCGCACTGCAGCGGGCTTCTTTTCTCGCCCCTCCCCCTGCCTTCCTTTTTCTCGCATTGATTGGAAGAGAGTCAGAGCCGCATCAGCAGCAGGCTGGGCGTTGTAGTTGCGGAGCCGAGTTGACGAAGTCTACGTCTGTGAGCGTCCTGGGGGTAGGGGCGGGACTTACCGCCGCGTTGGGTGATCTTCAAGCCGGGAAGATGTTGGCGGCCATGTTGGTTTTGGTGGCTCCCCAACGGCCAATGGCTCCACTCCTCCGAAACTGGTGGGAGCTACTGCAACGAAAATTTCTGGAGACCAGGCCAGGCCTTCCCAGCCCTCCGTGGGGTACGTAAAGAATACCGGCATAGAGAAGGGGTAGATGAGGGGAACCTCAGGCAGCGTGGTGGGCACAATTCATACTCTGCCTTTTTCCCGCTTTCCGATCCTCCTTAGGAGAGCATGTCAAGGACATTTACTTAGGAACAAGAGAGAGCTGGCTTTTTTCTGCTGCTTCTCGGCAATAAAGAAAATAGTCCTCTCTCACATTCCTACACAGAATGTCACCCAAGCTCATTAGCTCAGCATTTACAGCCACCACCATCTGGATTCCTTTATTATCTCTCTTTTCCAGTCCTCCCACACCTTAAAGCAGTTCATCTTCTTTTGTAGTATTTGAGCTCTGTGCAGTTGAATCCAGATCCCCTATTACAGCACAGGGGCCTGGACCTGAGTGGGTCTGCCTAGCACCAGCTGTAGTGCTTGGGTTCTTGTGTAGGAAAGATTTCACAACACGAATCTAGGGGCAATGATACAAGGAAGGGCTTAGCCTAGAGGGAGCAACAGGAGAGCTTTGGCTTGCCTACCTTAATTCACTGGAAAGTCAGAAGAAATGGGGCTTTAGGGAGGGGTTTAGGGGATTAGCATGGGACAAGCTACCGGAGGCCCCTTGCTTTAGAGTTTAGGGGAGAGATGCTCGGAAAGAGAGAAGTGGGGGGTGGGGCAAGAGGAAAGGAAATGCCCCCCCCCCTTCTATCCACAGGGAGAGCGCATGCGAGCTGGGTCCTTTGTCTTGAGGCTTTCATCTCTTGTGGGTGGGAATCTTAGGAGAGGTCTAAAGGTAGGGTTTCAGTACAATATTCATCAGTTCTCCAGATGTGTCTTTTTAGGGTCCAGATCCCCCTGATTGGTCAGTGACAGTGGTCTTTAGCCTTTGCAGTTGGTCCTGGTGTGGTCCACCTGGTTTTGCTGCTTTTCCAGGCCTGACGCTGAAGCACAGCTGAGGCGGAGATGTTATCTCCAGAGAGGAAAGTTCAGGGGAGTTTACTCTGGGGGCGAGTTTCTTTTTTTCCCCAGTTTTGCACCCTGCCAGATCTTCCGCACAGGTGACCATCTGCATCTGGCTGTAAATCGCTCCGCCATTGTGTTCAGCTATCGCCGTTTCCCTATTCCACTTGCCAATGAATTTTCATAGCTTCGCTATCCTGTCTCACCTGTCTTTCCCCCAGAAACTAATTTGAATGGGAAGCTTCTTAGATATTAAAACTGGCATTGCTTTGGTATTTACAGTCTACACGTTTTCTAAGGTGTCCCAAACTTGATAATATCCAGGGAGTCTGAAGTGAGAGCCCACTCACTATATACCATAGTCTACCTGCGCTTCTTGGGATAATTTCCAGAACAATTCCATTAGACACCCCCATCTTTCAACTGATGAAATAGGTCTGAAAAGATCCCTAGGTTAAACATACCTTCCAGCCCTGTGCTGTTACCACTGGGCTATGCTTAGAAAATATGTTTAGATATATTGAAAGGGAGTACCAGTTAAGTGTTTCAAAGCTTTGTATATTCTTAAGAGTTCCTAAAATCAAAAGAAAGTCTGAGGAATAGCTAGAAGAGGGTTAAAGAATCTATTTGATTTTATATACAATTTAGAACAACAAAAGTGAAATGTTGATGGTTATATAAATTACTGTCATACAAAGAATGGTGAGCTAGTTTTTTTTTTCTTGTAGAACAGGCAGGAATCAAGGTTAAATACTATGAACTAAGAGACTTAAATAGGGCCTGCCAACTTACAAGTGTGTGACAAAGGAACTAACTCAGTTTGAATATAATAAAAAAGGGTCAGTGGGCAGTGATTTTAGTGTTGGTTAGAGGTGCAGCTGGGGACTTTCATGCTTAGATTTACTTGTAAAGTGATTAGGTACTGCCCACCAACTGGATATGGACAGCTGAATGATTTTCTTCTTCTTTTTTTTTTGGCTTTGTTTGTTTTGTTTAAATTAGGTGCCTCAGTCTTGTATTTATGTTTACCACTAAACCCCAGAGTTCTGTTTTTCATAAGGTAAGAAACTCTTGGTGGGATTTCACTGATTTATTTCGGCAAGTGCCTCTGAGAAAAATTTCTATGTGTGTTCTTTAAATTTGCTTTATGTATGAGCTTTAGTATAATAGCCAAGATTTTCTGTTAAATGTCTATTGAATGTAATATTCTAAATTATCTGTAAATATATGTTTTCATATCATGGTTGACTAAGGAGAATGATACCTGTAAATAGTCATTTAGAAGCTAAAACTGATTTTGAATCTCCATGTTTTATTTTGTAGGACCAGCATTAGCTGTCCAAGGTTCAAATATATTTATAGAACCAGCAAATAATACTAATGGAAGTAAGGAGATCTCCAGCCTTTTGGATAGTATCTTTTGGATGGCAGCACCCAAAAACAGACGCAGCATTGAAGTTAACCGGTGTAGGAGAAGAAATCCTCAGAAGCTTATTAAAGTTAAGGTAATGTGTTGATTTTTGTGGATGTGCTTTTTCTCACGACTACCACTGCATATTCTCCTGGTATATCCATATAACCTATGAGTACATTATTCTCAGATTTTATATGTCTACTTTCTTGTGGCCCAAAAGTAAAATACAGTATTCTGTATGTCTACTGTGCTGTAGCCTAATTGGTAGGAACACTGTCAAGGAGGGAGTTTGGAGCCTGCACAGAGGACCAGGTTGGGAAGAGCATAAATGACTTTTTAACTGTGTGTGAGCTGTGCCAGTCCTGGGCTGTGTGATTTTGAACCATATATGAGTAAACATCTTAACTGTGGCAGAACCTCAAATTAAAGTTAGAAGCAATAGTTATATTGGATCTTGGGTTTTACTGGCCTTTACCTTTTTATTTTATTCTTCCCTGTACCCCGTAAAATGCTGCAAAGAAAAATCCTTAGATTAGTAATAAAAATAGCTAACATCTATTAAGAGCCTGTGATATATCCAAGATGTGAATTATCAAATTCTAACAACAGCCCTCCAAAGTAAATATTGCTCTGACCATTTTTAGGATGAAGAAACTGAGGCAAAAAGAATTTACCTGTGTTCACAAGCTATTACGTGGTAGAGCCAGCCAGGATTTTAGCACTGGAAGTCTAATGTTTTAGCTCAATTCTTCTCTTGAAAATTGGTGTGTTCTATCCTCAAGCAACTCCAGATCTCTGCTGTGTTCATTGAATTCATAGATACACTTGTCATTTATCTAATAAGCAAAAAATATAGTTGTTTAGTAACTTTGATCTGTTAATTTATGGCCTTAATGGCCATGTTTAAATTACTGGAATTCCACAGCACCAGCACAGTGCATATGAAACTCCAGAACAGAGAACTTACTATTAAGCTTCTATGTTAATTATTAAACCAAGTCCTTAGAATTTAATTAGGCCAAGACATATTACTGAGTTAAAGTTGGGATTAGACTTAAAATTTGGATCTCAAAAATACTTCATTAACTAAAAGAAAAATAATTCATACAAGTGGGTAAGAAAATTTAATTTTTTAGGAATAAGATCTTGCTCCAATCCGTTATATATCCCTGTGTGTTTATTCCGAGGGAAGAGAATAGCTCTTATCCTGTGCATTTGTTGTCTTCATTGAATTGTTTTCTGCTGCATATAGTTTATTATCTTGGGTGCATGGTTTAATTATTAAATTAATTGGAGTGGCATTAGCTAATAAGTTTCAACTGTACAATTCTATAACCATTACCCATATATTGCATTGTGTTTTCACCACCGCAAATCAGGTCTCCTTCCATCACCATGAGTTTGGCTTCCTTTGCCCTTTTCTACTTTTCCCACCCCCTTACCTTCTGATAATCATCATACTATTGTCTGAGTCAGTGAGTTGTTCTGTTTCTTGCTTTCTGTTTTCTATCTCACATATGAATGAAGTCATATGATTCTTTTTCCTGCTGACTTATTTCCCATAGTATGATGTTGTCAAGATTCACATGGCAGTTATTTCATTTTTTTTTCTTATGGCTGAGTAGTAGTATATATGGTCCACATTTTCTTTTCCAATCATCCATCAAAGAGCACTTGTTTTCATATTTTGGCCACTGTGAATCATGCTGTAATAAACATAGGGGACTATATATATCTTTGCAAATAAACGTTTTCAAAATTTGGGGGTTGATAAACCAAAGGAGGGAATGCCTGTGTCATATGGTAGCTCAATTCTTACTTTTTTTGAGGAACCTCCATACTGTTTTCCATAGTGATTGTACCAACGTACATTTCTATGAGCAGTGCAGGAAGGTTCTTTTTTCTCCCCATCTTCTCTAGTATTTGTTATTTCCTGTCTTTTTGGTAATAGCCATTCTAACAGGTGTTAGGTGCTATCTCACTGATTAGTTTTTCTCATTACTAGTAAAGTTGAGCATATTTTTGAAAATCTGTTGGCCATTTGTATGTCTCATTGGGAGAAGTGTCTGTTCAGGTCCTCTGCCTATTTTTTAATTATGTGTTTTGGATGAGTTTGTTTTTTGGATGGGTTCTGTGTATGAGTTAATTTTATATTTTGAATATTAGCCTCTTATTGGAGGTATCGTTTGCAAATATATTCTCCCATTCAGTTGGTTGCCTTTTTGTTTTGTTGGCAGTTTCTTTTGATGTACACAGCTTTTTAGTTTGATATAGCCCATTTATTTTTGCTTTTACTTCTCTTGCCTTTGGGGTCACATTTATAAAATCCTCTCGTCTCAGAGAGGATCTTGGTCTTACAAGATCTATAAGTTTAGTACCTATGCTTGCTTCTATGTGTTTTACTCTGATGTATTTTGAGTGAATTTTTGTGTATGGTATCAAATAGCACTCTGCTCACGTGACTTTCCAATTTCCCAGCACCATTTATTGAACAGGCTTTCTTTTCACCATTATATGTGTGTGTCTCCTTTGATGAAAATTAGTTTCAGGTATGTATATGGGTGGACTCTCAGTTCTATTCCATTGATCTGTGTGTTTATTTTTCTTCCAACTGTTTTGATTATTATACCTTTGTAGTATAATTTGAAATCAGGGAGTGTAATACCTCTGGCTTTGTTCTTTTTCTCCCAGGGTTACTTTGGCTATTTGGGATCTTTCATGGCTTCCTACACATTTCATGATTTTTAAAAAAAATTCTATTTATTTAAAAAATGCCATTGGGATTTTGATAGGGATTGCTTTAAATCTGTATATTGCTTTAGGTGATATGGCCATTTTACTGTTGATTATTCCAGTCCATGAACATGGAATACCTTTCCATTTCTTTGTGTCATTTTCAGTTTCTTTCACCTGTGTATTACAGTTTTCAGTATATAGGATCTTCACTTCTAATTAAGTTTATTCCTAGGTGCTTTGTTAAAGTTGCAAATGAATTTTACCTGAGATTTCATTGTTTTTTTAATATATTTTGTTGATTATACTATTACAGTTGTTCCCGTTTCTCCCCCTTTGCCCCCTGCTACACCTGATACCCACCTCCCCTTCAGCGATCCCCTCCTCAGTCATGTCCATGGATTGTGCATGTATGTTCTTTGGATTCTCCTTTTTCTATACTATTCTTTACCTCCCCCTGTCTATTTTGTACCTACCAATTATGCTTAATCCCTGTAACCTTGTCCCCTATTTCCCCCCTTACCCCTCACAGCTAATACCCTCTAAATGATCTCCATATCTGTGATTATGTTCCTGATCTGGCTGTTTGCTTAGCTTGCTTTTTCAAATTCAGTTGGTAACAGTTTTGAATTTGTTGCCATTCTACCATTCTCAGTTTTGATCTTCTTTGTCTTCAATAGGTTTCTTTAACATTTCATATAATAATGGCTTGGTGATGATGAACTCCTTCAGCTTTATGTTGTCTGGGAATCACTTTATCTGCCCTTCCATTCTAAACAATACCTTTGCTGGATAGAATAATCTAGGTTGTAGGCTGTTTGCTTTTCATCACTTTAAATATTTCTTGCCAGCCTCTTCTAGCCGGCAAAGTTTCTTTTGAGAAATCAGTTGACAGTCTTACGGGAACTCCTTTGTAGGTAACTCTCTGCTCTTCACTTGCTGCTTTTAAGTATCTTTAGCCCTGGCTGGTGTGCCTCAGTGGGTGGAGCACCAGCCTGTGCATCAAAGGGTCACCAGTTCGATTCCCATGTGCCTGGGTTGTGAGCCAGATCTCCAGTAGGGGATTGTGCAGAAGGCAACCACACATTGATGTTTCCCTCCCTTTCCCTGTCTAAAAATAAATAAATAAAATCTTTTAGAAAGAAAAAAAAAAGTCACATTAAACTCTCCTTTAAAAAAAGATTATCTTTAACCTTTGGCATTTTATTTATGATCTGTCTTGGTGTGGTACTCTTTGGTCCAACTTGTTTGGGACTCTGTGCTTCCTGAATTTGTATGTCTATTTCCTTCACCAAATTAGGGACATTTTCTTCATTATTTTTTCAAATAAGTTTTCAATTTCTTGCTCTTTTTCTTTCGGCATCCCTATGATTCAGATGTTGGTACCTTTGGAGATGTCCCAGAGGCTCCTCATACTATCCTCATTTTTTAAAATTCTTTTTTCTTGCTGTCCTGGTTGAATGTTTATTTCTTCTTTATGTTCCAACTCATTGATTTGAATCCTGGCTTCATCTCCTCCATTGTTGGTTCCCTGTAGATGTTTCCTTACTTCACTTAGTGTACCCTTCATTTCTTCTGGGGTCTTTTTTATGTCACTACAGTTCTCAATAAGTTCTTTCATCCTGTTGATCACTAGTGTTTTGAACTCTGCAGCTGATAGGTTGTCTATCTCTGTTTCATTGAGTTCTTTTTCTGGGGCTTTGTTTTGTTCTTTTATTTGGGCCATCTTTTTTGTCTCCACAATTTTGCACCTTCCCTATGTTTGTTTCTGTGTGTTAGGTAGAGCTGCTTTGATTCCCTGTCTCAGTAATGTGGCCCATTGTAGAAAAGGCAACTGTAAATTGTGTGGGGAGAGCCATAGATAATCGCCAGAACCGGGCATCCCACTTCACCACTTTGTGGCTATGTGGGGAGAGGAGACAGTGCTGCTGCCTGGCTTGTGGAGGTTTTCCCAGCAGGGTCTACCTGCATTCTAAGTCTGTGTGGGCCCTTTAAGTGGAGTTTTTTTCTGCTGCTCCAACCTCCACTGGTTTTTCCAGCCAGGAGTTACAGGGATTTATCTTCCTGGTGCCAGAATCCTGAGCTGTGTAGTTTAGCCTGGGTCTGGGATTGCTCGCTCCCAAGGTATATCTCCTTATTTTTATCCACTACATGTGAATATAGGACTCCCTGTTCCCCACCACAGCCAACTCTCCTATGCACACTGTGTCTCTACACCTCTCCACATTTCTGCCCTCTCTATCTGTCTGGATGTATGTGGCTTATTTAAACCCTTAGTTGTCTGACTTGCATAGTTTTCTTGATTATCTGGTGGTTCTGGGTATTTATTTGAGGTCTAGTTGTAATTCAGGGTGTCAA